ACTAAGTTCGCATGTAACCGAACATTTTATTCTCTTGCAACTTGGATCAAAACCGGGGAAATACCTTCAGGAGAAGAATTCAACATTAATTTTTCGACGAAATCAAATTAGTTGTATAAATATATTTTATTTCCCGTTAGCGAAATTTATTTTAAAATCTTTCTCAAATGAGATTTATCTGACATAAACTTTACCGAAGAGGCTAAATTGAGTTGATATGGAAAACGTCAACAAGAGGAGCGAAATTCTCTATATTAAGGATATGAGGTTCGAACTAAGGTCTTAACCAATTCCATTCATATTAAGCGTTAAATCATATAATATTTAAGAAAACTTGTTCACTTAATTTCAATAAAATATCACACATTTTGATTAAAGATCGATGGGAAGTCGGAAATCACTATACAGTGTATATTGAGGACAGAGAAAGATATGGGCTGTTGCATTAATCTTTCACATTGCTCAAGTATACTAGAACAGTTTATAAATAAATAACTCCCACACTGACCGACGTACTCGACATAAGGTTTGTTAGAATAACGACAATCATTATAAGTATGTAATATATGGCAGTTGGACTAATTCGTAGACTGATTTCACATATTTTCAGCATTGAACATATATCCAATATTATACGTTCAGTTAATTTTGATAAGATATTTTACATATTGACCGATACATACGGTATAACCGGAAGTTTGAAAATCTTTTATAAGGTATATGTGAGATATGTAAGTGTAGCATTGACCCAACTTTATCTATTTTTGGCATTACTACATATTATTAACAGAAACAGATGCTCTCTGAGTTTCATGAAGGTACTTCACATACCAACGACAACATATAAGGAATAAAGTCAACCGGATGTTTGAAAATCCTGATATTAGTTAAATGGGGGCTAGGACAAGTTTTCTCTCGATTGTATCCATTTTAGCCACAGAGATGAACTTACATATTGACCGATATATGGGTCATAAAGTCAGCCAGAAGTATGAAACTCTTTATTTTAGGTATATGGAGGGCTAAGGGAAATATTGACCCGATTCAACCCATTTTTGGTAAAAAGTCAGCCATAAGCTCTGTGGTCCGATATTTGGGCGCTGGGATAGTTATAATCCGATTTTGACAATTTTTAGACCTGAAATGATATACCTTAAAGGCACTATTCATGCAGAGTTGGTGGTTGATTGGTTTACTGGAAAGTGAAAAAATCAAATCAGATTTAAAGTTGTGTTATATGGGAAATAGGTGTGCTTGCAATCCGATTTCACCCACTTCATCACACCTTAAGATGGGAATGTCAAAATAATTCTATGTACCAAATTTAGTTGAAATTGGTCTAATAGGTCTGGAGATAGGTGATATCACTCAAATGTGGGCGATGCCACGCCCATCGTCGAATTTTGGTCATCGGTTCTGATTCTCTGACGAATTTTGTTATTAATTTATCGCACTTTTAGTAGTTTTAAAAAGAAACGGTTTTGTGGAGAGAGTTTGTGGTTATTTACGCAGTCGCAAGAGGTGTCGATATTATTTGTCCTGTGGAAACTTGAGTGATATAGTTTGAATGATTTGAGAAATATATACTTTTTAAAAATTTGAAATCAAAGGTGCCTCTCGTTATTGCGATTTGTTGCACCAAATCACAGTTTTGTATCGTAATTTGCAGCTTTATATGTTCTCGTTAATGGCGTTTTGTGGGCGTGGCTGTGGTCCGATTACGTCCGTTGACAACATCAACCCTCCTGGGGTGCCAAGGAATACGTGTACAAAGCTTCATCAAGATATCTTAATATTTACTCAAGTTATCGGTTGAACGGGCAGACTGACAGTGAGTCACTCGGAATTCAACTCGTATTGTCAACCTGATCATCTATACATATATAAATAACTCCATATAGATCTTGATTAATTTTAAGTGATACATACAACTATTATACTCTGTAGCAACATGTTGCAATAGTATAAAACTTAGACCTTTCGTACCGATTATTTGTACATTCAATCCTATATATTTATTAAATATACAAGTAAATTACTATTTAGTAATTTCATTACTACGTTTTCCCCTTTAGGCATAGAAATAGCCTGCTGTTAGTTGAAAATACTTTATATAAATATGTGTATGAACAATTCTATACATACATAGGTACTTATGTATCATATATAGGACGACGGACGAATATTCACCAGTTCAGACGAAGAACAGCGAATGAGTGATGAACTTGTAATATTTGTGCACGCCACAAACTACAAGTAAATATGTAGATACTCCCGCTGATTGTGACCACTGAAGTTGTTGTCAATCTTCTTGCTCCTTCTCTCTGCTCGCCGATTGTTTTGCCACGCGTCTGGTTACTGTCTACACGTTGCTGACTTGGTCATTAGTTTTAACCCGTTCACATAGATGCCGGCTGGGGCACATGTACTATCAATATATGTACATGTATACGTTACCACTTTCCTTCTCTCTATTTCCATTTTCCTTTACTACTTTTGGCGCGCTCTTTGACATGTCCCCACACATGTCTTTTTATAAAAGAAATAAAGTGCTAAGAGTGCACACCAAATAAATTGCATAAAAATGGGTATGTGGATATGTGCAATAGTGCACAAAATAGAGTAATTCAACGCAATAAAGGCGTGTGCATTAATTTTGTTTCTCCTCTCGCTATTCGTCTTCTTTTCTGCATGTTACCCAAGTCCGTAAGGCATGTGCATTTGTATAGACATATGTATATGTTTACACGTGATGCGGTTGCCACACTCAAATGCACCTTAATTAAATGAGTGGTAATTAATTTTAAGTCTAATCGGAAATTCCATTTAGATTTTCCCTCTGATTGATATGCTTCGACATGTTTGGCGGTTTGGCGTCAAAACAAAGCCCGTCTAACGTTCATATAAACTTATGTACACATATGTACATGGATTGCTTCTACATGTGAGAAAGTGACCTTTTCAAGGCTATTTTCTTATTTACAAGACATACACTGTTATCAGTTTATTATTGATTTTTTTATAAACAAAGATACATTCATTATTACTCTTCGCATTAAAGAAAGGCATTTACGATACATTATTGTCTAGCAGTTTTGCATACGGTTTAAATCTAATTAAAACAAGGGAAACGCTTTTTTGCTATTCATGCTATTTAAATATATATATATTTTTTCCATAAAAAATTAAATCAAGACATCCAGTGTTATGAGATTACTTTACCAGATATATTATTTTAACAAAAACGTTTATGTAATCATCAATGAAGTAATTTACTTGAACATTTTTTATTTATTGAACAGATTTATTTTACCTAGAAGCGCTTCCCTAAACCCTTTTTGTAAAATTTTAAACAAATAAATATACCAACATACGTATAATCATGAAAAAGCTATATTACCTACGAAATTAAAATACTATTATTTTACAAACCAGGTTGTTATAGTTGTAACACAATACTTTCAACCCTTTATATTATATTTACATGTTTAAAGCAGTTTGTAAAACACTAAAGTGTGGTATCGAAGCTTTACTGCTGATGAACAATTTTCTATTACAAATTTTATACATCCCCGAGTTATGTTCGATACATAAAAACACTCGTCATTTTTTTATCGTCTCGTTTGTTCTATTTTACATTTTAGCTGTTCATATCACATACCTTCACGGAGGTGTTTCGAAGGCGTCAGCAGGCGTTCACAGCCATTTGAGTAATCGACAATTAGAATTTTTTATCTGAAATACACCCTACGAAGAGAGCGCTTCATTGCACCGATGACAATCACCCATACTTCAAATTGATCTAAACTAGCGAAGCGAGTGCAACCTTTCTTCGCCTACTCATCTAGGCCTACACCAATATTTGCAATCAAAAAACTAGTTCTGTTAATTTTGACTTTGTATAATATTGAATAGTTGCTATAAAAGAGAGTGACTTTCCATTCATTTGACAGATACTATCATAATCCATCTACCCGAAAATACATCTCATTCATAGATGAAATACCATAAGGTCATAGGGTGGGCGCGTGCCACCCAATTTATAGTTTGCAATTTCTTGTCTTTAGACACGATGTGCTTTTCATAAAAAATCACGTGTCAAGGCGCAATTTAGACCAAAGACTTGATTGCTGTTTAAGTTTTTGTAGTTTCCCAACTATATGGCATCAATGAATGCACAACAAAACAACACAGTAAAACAATCGTTGGCATAGGTTTGCCGTAGAGCTGGAGTCGCTCATGTACGGCTGATAATGTCGACTTTTACCTTTTTATTATTATTAACTACTATAAGAAAAGGCCAAAACGCGTCGACTCTAATGAGGGGGCGTGAAGTGTGGTATTGTAGTAAACCATTTTTATTTGTATATTTCCATTTACTAAAGTATTTTCTGGTAACATACACATATTATTGGCTTTTTAATCAGGGGTAGAAAGCATCTGCGGAAGGCAAAATACAACATGTATTTGCGAAATGATGAAATAAAAAAATAAATACAACAGTGTTTAAGAAATATGTGGCAGTGAGTCAATACCATAAGGAAGAAGAATGAAAACTGTTGCTACTATCACGTCTAGTCAAGGACTCGTGCATGCACCAATACACACGTTCGGCTGAAGCATAACAGTCGTGGCATTCCATTTAAATGCTGGGAAAGTTGGCAAATGTCGCTTTTGACTGAATGTTTCGCTGTTTAGGGTCGTTTCAATGAGCTTATATTTGAGTAGCATTAATAATATTAAATTTTCCAAATTCACATACATATATATAAATATATATACATATATTATTAAATAACTAGTTTTTAGCGTTACCGGAAAAAGAAGAACCTCATGAACTCATTTAGGTTTTTTGGCAGTCCGCCACGATTTCATTATAACTTATTTTAGCCACCCGGCACACTTGGCTACTATACATTCAGACGATTTATATTTCAGTCATTCACATTGTCAATGCATTTCATTATTTTATTGGACTCCTTTTTAATTTTTTATTACAGGTACTGTTAATGCCAATGGCGAGACGAAACGACAACGGACCTCATATACCCGCTATCAGACGTTAGAGCTGGAGAAAGAATTTCACTTTAATCGATACCTGACCCGCCGAAGGCGTATTGAGATTGCCCACGCGCTATGCCTCACTGAACGACAGATCAAGATCTGGTTCCAGAATCGTCGAATGAAATGGAAAAAAGAGCACAAGATGGCTTCTATGAATATTGTACCATATCACATGGGTCCTTATGGGCACCCTTATCATCAATTCGATATTCATCCGTCACAGTTTGCCCATTTGAGTGCATAGGACGCGTGGCACTTTTCGGGTACTGGTTAGAGACTCAATCAGTTGTATCAGGAACCATATCAGACGGCGGCAGCAGCTAGTGTAGCAGCTGGCGGATATCAGACACAAAACACACAAGAATCTAGCATAGCCCTGGGCGGTGGTGCCGGCGTTGGGGTCGCTACTGGCAGCGGTAACTCGCTATTCGCTTCTGCGACCGCCCCCAATGCTGAATGTGTCAAATATCCACAAGAGTTCTGATCTCAAATTATCTTCAGAGAACATCAACAGCAATTGCATCTCCAACATGAACACGAACTTCTACAGCAACAACACCAATACGAGCAACAATATTTAGAGCAACAACCGCTACATCATCACCACATCCACCAGTCCGAACGTAATTCCATTCTGCAGCTCTGCGAAAGTAAAGAATTGTGCGAAGATGCAGAAACTACAGATCTGGAGTTCAAAGACGAAATCGTTAGTGGTTGTAATATGTATTGTTGTTGAGAGATGACAATGTTGTTGTTGCAATAAAGTTGTAGATGCCTTCGAGACTGCTGCTAATGCTGCTGTTAGCGACTGCTAACAACAAGAACAACGATGATAATTTCTGAATGCAACTGATTTGTGTTAAGCAAGCAACGAGCCTCTAAAAATGAATATAGCTTTCGTGGAACTTTGGCACTTATCGCCGAAACTTCCAAGAGTGGCTCGTGCAGGTTTATGATACTGGTCAGCAACAGAGGAATTTAGTTTCATTTGGAATCTTGTGAATTCGTGATGTTCACGTAGAAAATCTTCCCCTTTATAAGTTATAAGTACCTCAATGGACTGACAAAGCTTTAAACTAAAGACTTTGCATTTCCTCCTCTTTTTCGTAAAATTGCGAAAACCGTCCAGTATGATAAACCGCTATATTCTCTAAGCAGTATTCGAAAAGCAATTAGTTTTAAGGAAACCATCAGCACTGCCGGCCGCTCAAAACTGCGATGATTAGTATATTTCCAAAGCTGAATTATTAGAAAAATATCTGGCTAAATAAATTTTTGTATTTTTTTTATAAATGGTAAAAAATGAAGGAAGGGTAACATCGACGGCAGTGCTGTGTTAGTTTAAATGTAGTTTAATCTCCAGTGTGCAGAATAATACAGTGATTCTCGAACTGTTTCAGTAAAAGTTTTCAGTTTCAGAATTAATTTTTATCTATCATATCAGTCCCAGTCCCTCTCAAACTTCAGTATTTCAAAAAAACATTTGATTATTACTGAAATTAGCGGAGATGTGTTGACAATTTTAAAAGCGACGAAGTCTTTTAGTATGAGCCGCAGTACTTAATTTTATTTAATAGTATACAAACCCCATAATATTTTATTTATTAGCGTACTCATTTTTGTAATGTAAAATTATTTTCATGTTTGTATATATTGAAAGTATCTTTATAAATTTTGAATTTTTTATAATATAGCTTTAAATTGTTTTTGTTGACTCTGAACTTTCAGAATTTCCGGGCACTAGCAAAGTTCGCAACTAGTACGTGATTTTAGAAATCTTTTATAAATAATAACTCATTAACCAATAACAGAAACAAATTCGGGGAAAACAGGTCATGTTTAGTAGTCAATAAACAAAAATTAAATATAAAACTGTACTGATATTCAAACTTAGAAAACGTTTGCCAGAAATTCTCAATTTTGCTTTTTTGTGAAATTTGTAGAGACCATTCTATTCATATATAATATGTATTTTATTATTGTTATTAGTAAATATGAAGTTGTCACCCATACGGACTTTGAAGTATTTCTTTTTAAACCAATTCCATACCTGCATAAAAATTACAACAATACTTTTTTTTAGTTTAGAATAAACTAAGTTGCAACTTAAACTGCAAAATTAGACACTACTAACAAACATATTTGTAACGAATAACTTGAAAAATATAAATACTGTACTAAAATCATACATGTACATAAATAGGTTTATATTAATGTGCGACCATGTAAGTAGACTTTTAATTATCTAATTATAAGGTTAGTGCATTCGTATCAAATATATTATATAATATATTGGGATAATCTAAAACAAATTGAAAAAATTGCTTCATCTATAAGTAATTCAGTTAAGACAAGGTTAATTTTAAAAACATTTTAGCAAAAATTGTTCGTATTGCGATTTTTATTTCTACAATAAAGTCGTTTTATCTTAGTTTAGTAAGGCGAAATTCGATTCATAAGAGATTTGCAATATCAGTATAAATGGCGATTAAAATATCGATAGATATAAGATGGCTAAGTAAGTCTCAAATGTATGTATGTACACAGTTATCAAACCAATTTGTATAAAAATGCTGCATTCCATGTAAAGAAATTAAAGTGTAATACATAATATATGTATCTCAAAAACAATTTCAATGAACGCACTAGTTTAGCAATCTGGCTTCAGTTTATATTTCCATATTTACCTACATATGTATTATGTAATATGCGTGCGTACACACAAACTCGTACATATGTATGTCTTTAGATAAATCAATTGCCAGGATGTAGTGCGCAATACAAATAAACATACGATTAAACAGTGTAAGATTATATTAATGCAATACTTAGAAAACTAAGCTAAGCATAGATTAAAAAATTAAAAAGAACAAAATGAATAAAATATTTTAAAAAATTTCAATTTCGTATTTCAAGGGTGTTCTATGGAGCAAGAAGGACGTGGTGAACCAATGGAGAAAACTGTTACTATATATTTGTCAGTCGGTAGAGCATTTGACTTTTAATCCAAGGGTCCAGGGTCCAAGTTCCTGCTCGGGCGAACTTTTTTTTACATTATTATTTTTTTATTTAAATACAATATTTCAGGATTTAGTAGAAATATTTCCATCGAATAAAAATGCCTACACTTTAATAGTATCTAAATATATACGAAATTTATGAAGAGCGTTTAATGTTGGTATTAAGGACCATTTTGTAGAGCAGTAAATTTCTTGCAAAACTATGCGTTTTCCGACTTATAATGATTTGTTTTTCATTGAGTTATGAAATTCATAAGAAAAAAAATACGTGTGGCACTCGGGGACTGCCGCGGTAAAGCTATTGCACAGCAATTTTTATCAACTTAAGCAATTTATTTATTTTTTTATGCAGTATTTTATTTCCTTTGATATTAATTCAAATTATTTATTTCTTTGCTACTACTATTTAAAAAAAAAAAATTAAAAGGAATTTGCTACTTAAATAGAAAACATTGTAGACAAGATTCTTGTATAAAATTGTGCCAAATAGCCCCACTTTACGGTTATTCGTTCAAAAAATTTTAACAAAAAAACGATATTAAGAGCATTTGTGATAATAAAAAAATATATATAAACATATGTATGTATATAGAGTACTCACTCATTTTTTTCACTATATTTTTTTATCACAAATTTCACATGAATCAATTAGTGTACATATTTACATACATATGTTGCATATAAACAGATATACAAACATTATGCGTGTTACTTTTATTTTCGCTACGAAATTTCTTGTTTCGGTCGCCGCGATCAAAAATATGCAATAGCTTAATAAAAATGTTACTAATATTATGTCTCCAAATATTGAATAATTTAGTTTTAATAATAAAATTTTTATTAATTTCCATATTTTTATTTACCATTTAAAAAAGTTGTTATTAAATTTAAAATATTATTATTTTTCAATCACCCTGCTGTCTCTTCAATTGATTTGTTTCCGCTTAAGCATACGCTAATAATTAATGCGAAAATACGCTTAAATGCAAACGTTTTGCGCATACTTGTGAGCGTGTTAGGTTTATTTCCGTTACGAAATTTCTTGATTCAGTCTTCGCCCTCAAAGCCCGAGATAGAAGCTATGCAATAGCTTAAAAATATCCATAAAATATTCAAACTTTAACCGTTAATATCTTCCAAACGGTTATGTTTACGTAAGACGTAGTATGTGCAGAGCATTCAATTTCCTATAAAATGTATAAAACGATTTATTTTTTCAAGTAGTTGGGAGCGAGATTTAGATTTTTTTATCTGATAAGAAAAAAATTGAAAACTGCAAAACGAAGAACCTTCTCCTTACAAATAAGAGCTAATACTTGGAGAGACTTCCTTAGAGGTGCCTAAGAACATACATATTTTTCAGAGTACCAAGCGAAAAAAAACCCACCCTGTACATACATATAAAAATTTGAAGGAGAATCGTTATTCTTTGAAAAAATTTACTTTAGGCTGATATATTGGTATAATCGATTACAAATCAGCAAACAAATTTATGAAATCTGTTTGAAATCGTGGTTGTCTATTTCCAGAGATAATTGTTGTTTTAATTGTATTTGACATCATTTGGGGATAAGAAATGCAACCCATTCAATTGATTTCTAATTAGGGTTAGCTGACAATACAACTGACCAAGAATGTAAGAGAACAACTATTTTATTAAAGATTGTTGCAATATAATGTCATATTAATCGGAAGAAAACTTCAGTTATGTAAACGGTATAAAGTCAGATGAAAAATCAAAATGGATGGAAATCACTGTATGGTGTATATAAGAGCTGAGGGAAGATCTCGTGTGATGCGTAAACTTTTGGCATTACTCAAATTTGATTATTATTCCATTGTTCGAATATTCCGAATATGCGTTGGAAAGTTACTGTCCTTGAACGTTCATTGAATACAAGGTTATGAAAACAGTCGACGTCATCGAACCAACATCGTCATACTTACAGTGGGACGAATTAAATAAAAATAATAATAATTAATTATGTTACTTAAAATTGAACATACTTTATAACTGCGTTCTAGGCAGTAAGCTTCTTCCGAATGTTTTTAGATATAATATTTTGATATTAAAATAGTTTGGCTATTTATCTGCCCAGAAATATATATTATATACGTACCTAATATATATTTACACGCAAATATGAAGCAGAACAAATATTTAAAGTTTCCAGGGCAATAGCACTCATTCGCAAAAGTAGATGGAGAGGAAATCATATATACATTCAAAAGCAAGGAAATTGGCTGCCATATGAAATGAAGACAATAAACATTGAAAGATAATTTTGTATGTCAGAAAGGATGCAAAAAGAAGTCGGATTTGTATCGGCTTGTGGCTGGTGAAAACGCTTGGAATTTGCGACTAGACATGAGGAAATAATCTTCCACAATGACAACGCTACATGTTGCAGGACCGGTTAAAAGCTAGTCAGAAAACAGCGCCTGTGAAGTTATGCCTTACCCACCTTATAACCCTGACCCAGCCCCTTCTGACTACCATTTGTTCCTTTTGATCCCCTCACTATAAACCGGTTCACAAAAATTGGTATCATAAATTGACCTGAATCATTTTTGACCGCCTAACCGGCGCAATTTTCTTGGGAGAGAATCCACAAATTGCAAGGAAGATGGGAAAATGTTATAGCCTCAGGTGGGAGGCAAATAGAGTTATAATAAAGGAAGCATGAATATAGATCTTCTCTATCGGTGCTGAGATAACTCGTGAACCAATTTCACACTTTTTCGGCATTAAACTATAGTATATCGAATATTATACGTTCACCTAATTTTGCTAATACATACATTTTACATACTATTTACATAGCATTAACCGATATGTTCGGTATAGAATCAACCGGAAGTCAAAAATCTTGATATTGAATTCACTTTTATCAAGAAAAGATTATCTCTGTATTTCGATAATATATCTCAGAAATTTACCGATATTGTCGGTGAAATATCAGCTATTATAGCACTTTGAAACATAACGTTTATATAAAAAGAGGACGTGGTTATCATCTCTCTAGCAACAAGTTGTGCGAGTTTAAGAACAAGAAGCAAATTTTTGGTAAGTGGCTTTCAAATTGTTCGAACGAATGGTCTTTTTTTAAAAAAAAAACATTACATCCATAACTGGCTCCCAGTCAACAATTATAATCACATGTGGCAATTAAAATAATGTCGCCCGGGTAGCTCAGTCGGTAGAGCATTGGACTTTTAATCCAAGGGTCCAGGGTTCAAGTCCCTGCTCGGGCGTAGCATTTTTTTTATAATTAGATATTTTAATTAAAATAATGCGGTTTAAAATAATAGCAAAATATTCAAATAATTGTATTGAAACTATTGTATTGGAATTATATTTTACTTTGTATAAATTAAGAAAATTACCAAAAAGTATATACTAATAATATCATGAGTACAAGTAAGTAGAAAGATTTATTAAACACTCTTAATACATAGGCTCGCCATCACTACAAATTGCCAGATTTTACATACATATTAGGTATGTATGTATGAACAGTGTACATAATATGCAATGTGAATTATACTGTGCTTTGGAGTGTACTGCTCATGGAAGGGTTGCTTTCCACTTATAGTCCTTCTCGACTCATTATACTCTAAATTAAGTTTACCACGATTATCCCAGAAGGCGATAATTGTCCAAGGCAATGCTACAATATCCGAACAAAGTTGTATAAATCGAACCAAAACTGCTCAAGCCCCTAGGGACGGAATATGTGTACCTCAGTGCCTATAGTTGACTTATTACCGAAAATATCGGTCAATGTGTACAATATATAATCATTATATAATAAAATAAATAAATGAAACTCTCGATAAGAGTATGTTTTTGTGTCAAAAAAATCATACATCTAAAATAAAGATTTTTGAACTTCCGGGTGACTTTATACCGCATACATCAGCCAATATAAATAATAAATCGGGTTAATAATAACCTCTACTTCCATATACTACTTATAACGCTTTTCGTTATTCTAACCAGTTTTATGCCGAATATGTCGGTCAGTGAGTATCAATATTTTTTTTACATATGAAATTGCTTAAAAATACGTTCTCGAGTATAGCTGAAAATGTCAAAATTAATATCTTTCTCTATCCCCAATATATATATGATTTCCATCTTTACACCTGACTTTAAACCGTTCCGCTTGATCAAAATGTGATAATTTAATGAAATGAAAGTTTTCTTAAAAATTATATGGTTTGACGCAGTATTAGAATGAAATTATTATATACCTTGGTCTAAACCTCGCACCTTCATATAATGAATTCCGATTCTCTGGTTGACGTTTTCCACATAAGCTTATAACATAAAATTTAGCCACTTTTTTTTTTTAATATATATAATTTTCGTTGGCGCGAACTAAAATATAGCAATAAAACTGAGACTTAATTTATGGCCTTTAATATAAGTCAAGAAGATACCAAATTTGATTGTTATTCAATCACGATTTCATTTAATAATGGATGTTCTCAACATTTTTTTAATATAAAGTTTTGCAACCACTGAAGGAATTTCCTGGCCTTTGATTCTTGCGCATTGCAAGAGTATAAAATTGTCGGTTCCGCTTTAATACCTATTATTGGGACTATATTGACCCTAGCTCCTACGTACTTTATGTAAAAAATTCAAACTTCCGTTTGGCTTTATATAAACGTAAAATATTAGAAAATGTGTGATATTAGTCCACGAATTTCCCCAGCTCACATGTACAACATACGGTTTAATTTTTTTGTTAATTTGATAATTTAATGAAATTAAATGAACAGTTTTTCTTAAAAATAATGTGGTTTATCGCTGTATATGAATGAAATTGGTCTAAACCTTTGTTTAAACCTTATAACCCTAATATACTGATTT